GCAACATAAGCCGGGAGCTTGCCATGTTGGACTCTCAGACTTTTCACTGGCCCTCCATTGTCCCAGCAATGCAGAAAAGGCTTAAACAAAAATTGAAAAATACCCACCCATACCTTTGGAGTCTCTGCTACCATATTACCAAGATTGTACTTTAAAAAGAGCAAAGAAAATAAAACTATTGGGTTGACCATTTCCAGACTACCCTCCCGCCTGGACAGGTAAGTATGATCAGGTTCAGCCTATTTCCCCATAACAGTTGGAAAAAAAGCTGTAGACCCTTGCATAGAGAGATACTGGCAAGATACAGACGAAGCTGACATATAAAAGATCGGAATCAGGTAAGTTTTAATCAAGTCAGCACTCTCCCTCAAGGAGAACCTCCATCCCTGCCAGCTCGGTACTTTGGCATTGGCATCCACCAACCTGCTTTCCCATTTTTGATAACATAGTCACTAGGACCAAATTTGATGCCCAACTCTGTAATTTCCTGCTGGGGCTGTGGGAAGGTGTCTGGAAGTTTGAAGCTTTCAATCTCCTCACCCATCCAGAAAACTTCACTCGTTTCATGGTTGATTTTAGAGCCAGAAGCCTCCATGTACTGCTCTATCACAGGGACCACCTCCTGCGCCTCCTCAGTCCCAGAGATAATAACAGAAACATTATCGGCATAGGCCACGATCTTCAAAGGTGGCACACCAGCAATGCCTAAAGGCACCCCACACAATGATCCACCCTCTAGCCTTCTTACAAAGGGGATGATTGTGAAAGCATATATCAGGGAGCTCAAAGAACATCTCTGGTGCACACCAGAGCCAACCTCAAAAGGCCGTCCAACCCAACCATTAACAAGTGGGAAGCTCTCAGACCCTCTATATAATGTATTTAGCCAATCTATAAACCTCCCCTGCAGGCTGTATCTACCAAGTAGCAACCACAGATATTCATGATTCACTCGATCAAAAGCATTTGCCAGATCCAATGCCAGCAAGTATTTTCTCCATCCTGCAGCCCTGCATCGCTCCAATGCCTCCTGGACAGCCAAAACTGTTGAAAGGTACGTCTACCTTGGACCAAACAGTGCTGATGGCTGGACAACAAATCGCCTGCTACTGACGACAAGCACAAAAAAGAATCTTTGCCAAGATCTTTCTATTAACATTGAGAAGACTGATGAGGCACAAATTCTCAATCATTGTGGGGGTCTTTACCTTTTGACAGAAGAATCACAGCAGATTGCCTTATGGAGGGAGGAGCAAACCCTCTTCTAGACAGCTGTTAAAAACCTCAGCTAAAAAGGGAGCCAGAATGGACTTAAAACACTTGTAAAATTCAGCTGTCAATCCATCTGGCCCAGGCGATTTTTTGGTAGCCAGCTTGTCTATAGCATGAATTGCCTCATCCGCTGAATTTGGTTCTGTTAAATTCATCAAAAGCAATGTACCATTTCCCAATCCTGGAGTACAATCCAGAAAGCTTTCTGTCTTGTCTGGCTAAGGTCCTTTCTTCACAGAAGGTCTGCATATTATGACCAGAAAATATCCAAGATCCCTGATTTGGACTTCACCAGGGAACCTGAACTATATTGCAGGTCAATGGCCGTCTTAACTGCTATGCCTTGCTTACAGTTCTGGTAAGGATCAGGCAAGTGATATTTTCCATAATCCCTCTCCAGAACCAAAGAAGTATGCCTGCGAAATTGACATTTCCTACGAAGAAGTTTCACTTCAGAGATCTCCCCTGAATCTCCTCCATATGAGACAAGATGATCAAGCTTCCTCCGCAAATGGTAGACAATTTACATACTGAGCTGCTTCTTCTTACTTATGGCCTTGAAAAGTCCAATCACCCTTTGTTTCACAAGCTCCCATCACTCTGACTTACTGCTGCAAACGTCTAGAATAGAAACCTGTGCCTGAAAAAAAATCCTCAATGGATTGTCTTACCTCTACATCTTCCAAGAGAGCTGAGTTCAGTTTCCAGACACCCCTTCCCCTGGGTGGAGTGTCTGAGGCATTCAGAGTCAGAGCAGCATACAGTGGTTGGAGAACTCCGCCACCCTCAACTCAGGAGCCAAGAAAGCAGAGTTCTCCTTTAAAAAAAACCTGTCTATCCTGCTCTGACTATTCCCTCTTTGAAATGTGAAACCTGTGCTGCCAGGACAGTGCTTAATGTGCACATCTATCAGGCCTGCCTGTCTAACCATATCTCTAAGAAAAACGCTATCATAACCCAGCCTGTCTATGGAGCCTCTCCTGTCTTTAGGCCTAATTATGGTGTTAAAGTCACCTCCAAAGACAACCTGCTGGGATATAAAAAGGAAGGGCTTGATCTTTGTGAAGAGGTATTTCCTGTCCCATTTTGACTGTGGTCCATAGATATTGATCAGGAGCAGATCCTGCCCCCTAGCAGAGACCTCTAAGACCATGCAGCTCCCCATTTCTACCTCAATTACCCGCTGACACGTTACCATATAGGTTTTCAAAAGCATCGCAACTCTGCTGCAAGGCTCAAAGTGACTAAAAGGAGGGACCACATCTCCACTCCCTTTTTTGCTAGATGGACATCAACTAAAGTATTGAGCCACTGTGTAAATATAAAACCAATTCACCCTAAATATTATTCAACCAAAAATATAACATCAAACGTGTTCAATCCCTGGTCGCCAAGTTATCTCTTCCACCCTAGGAAGTCCAAAACATACAGTTGTTTCTCAGCATCCAAACAATAAATGTCCTCTATTCACACCCGTGAGTGATATTTCTTCCCCTCCTAGCTCATTGGACATTCAATCTTCAAGTATCCTGCTCTTCATCTTCAATCCTCAAAAAAATGTGCAAAATCACACATAGTGTATAACCTTTTTACATGAAATCAACTCTAATAAATATAATAAATAAACACTCACACAAAGTACTCAAAACTATGTCACCGATACCACCAAGTGTCAACCAGTGATATCTGCAATTCATACCCTTACCCTCTGGGTATGTCTTGTTCACCTTTTTGCAAATCTTTTCAATCCGTGCACTCTTCCTCTTATATTCCTCTTCAACGATAGCCATGCCCTCAAAAAAATTATTGTATATAGTGTAATACTATTAACCAATAATTAGTGGCACATTTGCTCCTTATTTTCCCAATAAGTGACCACCGGTATGGGAAACAATCAAGTGATCCACAACCTCTCAATCCATGCACCTTATCAGACTTATATAAACAAGAATCCTTGAACAAATAGATTCCTTCCCAACCAACATCTTTCTTGTTACTCCCACCACAATATCGGTATATGGCTCAAAACAAAATAGGCAAACATAGTGCAGTAAAATCCCAGAGAACAACAATTTTACAAGAGGGTGGAAGCCCCCAGGGAACAACATCAGTATCAGAGAAGAGAAGACGGGGGATACAGGCAAAGTTCAGAAAGAGTACAACAGGGAGAGGAGAGAAGGGGAGGAGAAAGCAGCAACAAAAGAAGAAGGAAGGAAACATAGGAAAAGGCATATATAATCTGAGCTCAGCCCCATTATCTAAAAAGGAAATACCAGTTTTGGATTTGGGTTTAAAGTTTGCACCCAAGTCTAATTTAAATACATTTCAGACCTACATAGATCTCAATAAATATGTCAGGAAATTAAATATAAAAAAAATACATTGCATCCCTTCCAGGATCCATTAATGTGATAAATAAAGGAAAAGCACACCAGGAAATTGTGGAAAGTGGGCTAAGAAATAAATCTACTTTTAATCCCATTATCTCATCCAATCAAAATGTTGATGTACTCAACCAAATGGTGAATATATATTTTAGAGAGTTAAGTGTTAAAAAAACAGAAAGATTAATATTTAAGTCCTCAGGGGTTAGAACAGCTAGAAAAAAATAAAAATGTTATTATATGTCCGGCTCACAAAGGAGGCGGGGTGGTCCTTCTGGATAGAAGTGACTATGAAAAAGAGATGGATAGGATTTTGAATGATAAAGATACATATGAAAAAATAAAAGGGAACCCTACAAGAAAATTCAAAAAAACAATTAAGCAGTTTAATAACTAAAGCTAAAAATATGAATATAGTAAATGAAAAGGAAGTGCAATATCTAATTCCTTCTTGTTGCAAAGTTCCTATATTCTATTACATGCCAAAAATCCACAAAAATCTAAACTCAGCCTCCGGGTAGGCCTATTGTAAGTGGTATAGACTCTGTACACTCCAGAATCAGGGAATATGTGGATATATTTCTACAGCCTATAGTGAAACAGATGCCGGCATATCTTAAAGATGGACAGGATATAATTGATTTAATTGAGAATATGGAGGATGTGAAAAATAATATGTTAGTCACCATAGATGCTAATCCTGTGTATACAAGCATTAAACATGAAGATGGGGTAAGTGCAGTAAAATAGGCCCTTAGGAGATACACTGAGGTCAATAGAAAACAAAGGAAATTTATTATCCAACTGTTAGAATTTGAAATGCATACCAACTATTTTTGGTATGGTGGTGAGTTTTACATTTAAAAAAAGGTTGTGGCAATGGGTGCTAAATTTGCACCAAGCCTAGTGAACATCTTTATGTCTAGGTGGGAGCATGAAGAAATTTTTGGAAAGGAATGGAAAGGGTTGAAATTATGGAAAAGATTTATCGATGATATTTTAGTAATTTGGAAGGGTGATATGGACTCATTAAACTTATTTCTGGAACATATAGAAAATAACCCTTAAGGTTTGGAGTTCTGTAAGTGTATTGACACACAGTCGGTTAACTTTTAGATTTTAGATTTCCAGAAAGATGGCAAGTTATATACTAAAAAGGCCACGGACTGCAATGGTTATATTCCAACTTACAGCTGCCACCATCCTTTGTGGATTAATGGAGTTCCTAAAGGACAGTTTTGTCGTATTAGGAGAAATTGTTCCAGATTAGTGGATTATATAGAAAAATCGGAAATAATTAAATTGCGTTTTATAGAAAAAGGTTATGACTAGAGATGAGCGAATTAGGGAAGAGAAATAATACTGACAGTCAGTATGACATGCAGATGAGTGCCGTCGATCTTAGAATCACCGCACACTTCACTCATTTGGGCAGTCACGGGGCCAAAACCAGAGTGTGGAGCCACAGTGTGGCGGTGGAGGCAGCAGCAATGGGAGGCCATACAGCACCCTATGACAAAAAATGGAAACCACCAGCAGTGTGAGGAGACCTGAAAGTGGCACATGGCTGGCAGAGTGTGGCGATGGAGACAGCAGCAATGGGAGGCCGTACAGGGACCCATGACACACTCTGGACCTGGCAGCAGCATGAGGAGGCGGTACAGGGGCCCATGACAGATTACGGGGGCTGGCAGCAGCATGAGGAGTCGGTACGGGGGCCCATGGCAGATTACGGGCCTGGCAGCAGCAATGGGAGGCCGTACAGGGACCCATGACACACTCTGGACCTGGCAGCAGCATGAGGAGGCGGTACAGGGGCCCATGACAGATTACGGGCCTGGCAGCAGCATGAGGAGTCGGTACGGGGGCCCATGACACACTCTGGACCTGGCAGCAGCATGAGGAGGCGGTACAGGGGCGCATGACAGATTACGAGCCTGGCAGCAGCAACTTGGACAGGAGGACGTTCAGCTTCTGCACCGTCGGGTGCGTGCTCACAAACTGTTGTCTCTTGG